TGAAGAAGGGTCTAGGCCCGAAACATCAGCCTTCCTGCTCCTCTGATGCTGCTTGGCCTGCTGTGTTCATCCAGCTCTACACCTTGTTATCTCGGATTCTCCAGCATCCGCAGTTCCTACTATCTCCGAAGCATCCTAGTAAATCTTTTCTGCACTCTTTCTGGTTTAATAATATTGGAGGATCACAGAAATCTTGGCGGGGTGTAGGATTGGATAAGGATGCAGAGAAAGGGAGGGACAAAGCTGGGGAGACATTCTATTGTGTGTCAAAAAACAATTTGATAGTAGGAGTAAGGGAGAAAGGAAGAGGATCACATTAATTGGGAACGGAAATGATGATCGATTTTATTGTTCCAGAAACCCAGAGGATAAGGGGTGGAGGGTGGTGGTTAGTGAGATTAGTTGTAAAAGCAACAGCTTCCCAGCTGAGATCAGGGTAATCCACAAAGGACAGACTCTCACCTTCCTGCTCAGTTAGGAGGTACATTTGTCACAGGTACGCTGACGGAGCAGTTACTTACTGTAACAAATCAGGTTATGGATGACATTAGAGAATAATGTACAAGTAACTGCTTTTGTTCTTCCCCCTGCAGATCCCTCTGGGATTTGGGATGGTGACAACTGTTTATGTGGGGAATGCGCTGGGTGCTGGTAACCCACAGCAGGCTGTCAACTCTGCTAAAGTCGCTGCATGCTGCGCTGGTGAGTCCAATTGTTTAATCTTACCAAATTAAGAGCAAATTCATGTGGATGCTGGAGATCTGAAATTAAAAAAAACAGAAAGTGCTGGAGAAACTCAGTAGTCTGGCAGCATCTGTGGATAGAGTTAATGTTTCATGTTCAATACGACCCCAATAGAAACCAAAAGAACAGCGAACGCTGTAAAAACAAAAACAGAAATTGCTGGAAAAGCTCAGCAGGTCTGGCAGCATCTGTGGACAGCAATCAGAGTTAATGGTTCGGGTTGAGTGGCCCTTCCTCAGAACAAATGTAACTCTCCATTATGGCCCTCCAATATCGCACATCTTTGAAACTTAAACTTATTGACTAGACCAAAGAACAAAGAACAATACAGCACAGGAACAGGCTCTTTGGCCCTCCAAGCCTATGCTGACACATTTTGCCCCTCCATTGATTTGGACAGGTTAGGAGAGTTGGCAAAGAAGTGGGCAGATGGAGTACAAGGTGGGAAAGTGTGAGGTTACACACTTTGGTAAGAAGAATAGAAGCATGGACTATTTTCTAAATAGGGAGAAAATTCAGAAATCTGAAGTGCAAACAGACTTGGGAGTTCTAGTCCAGGATTCTCTCAAGTTAAACATGCAGGCCGGGAGTCCTTGCTCTGGGCCTACTGAAACCGGGAGTCCCTGGTTCCGCTGCCAGGCC